AATTCTCTCACTGTAGGGCTGTAGGTTTGAAAAAAAAACGGTAACATAATCAATTTTCCTTCCTCCTTGCAGCGCGCCCAGACACGCCCTTAATTAACCAAAAAAAATTACATCTTTATTAATAACAAATTAATTATTAAACAAAAATATTAAATATAAACTAAGTATTAATACAAATGATCTCGACGTGGTATTTTGATAAATTTCATACATGAGAAGTAGAAATGAAAATGTTAAAAATAATCTTGATGGTTGACATATTTGTAATATTTTTAATGTTTCCATTTATGTTTTAATATGACATTTTATACTAATATTTATGATTTAACTTATTGGATATGTGTTCATTTTTTCTTTGTCAAACCTTAGTTTTAAATCAAATCAAACCGAAAAAGTGATTTGAATTGATTGATTTGAAAATTTGTCACAAACCGTCCAAAATAAACCGTGTTCACCCCTACATCTAGCGAACAAATAAAATGAAATAAGGAATCAAATATTTTGAAATATACTGAATAATAATAATAATATTCAATAAATTGTATGCTTTTCCTATTTTAAAAATATATTTTTATTTGAGTGTATCTAACAATGACCGGTTGGTTCAGCCAAATACCTGTCCATTAGCTCAACCAGTGTCCCGTTAACTCAACGATTTGGGATTGGTGATTGTCTGATACGTATAGATTAACAATAAAACTATTTGTACAAAATTTAGTTACAAAAGTTGGGTTACAAATTGTGTTGGTAAAATTCAGACATTTGATTTCAAATGATTTAAAATCTGTTTTTAAAATTATTGGGGCATATGTTATTTTGTCAACCAACTTTGTAACCTAACTTTGTATATGTAGCATAACTTATAGATCGAAGTGCTAACAAAATGCTCCATTTTCAAGGTTTAGAACTACTGTCAAATTATATTAAAAGATTAGGGACCAACATTGCTAATTTCTCTAGCCGATGTACACAACTATATAGCCACCACGTTTTCAGAAGAAACCCTAAACCTCCTTCTATCACACAATCTTCAGGCTCCGCTCGCGCCCAAGCGGCTTCTCTCACCCTCTACAGGTAATCCGTTTATCTTCTATTTTTTCTAGAAAATCGTTTCTGATCTATTTCTTGTCTCTGTATTGACGATTATAATTGCTTATTGGGGTTGTATGTTTGTTATTTTCATAAAATTTTTGGAGGCTTCAGAAAGTTTTTGGTTTATTTGTTGATTTTCAGATTGATTTCGTTATAAAGGGCGAACAATTTGCTACTGTGAAGCCATGTCTCTCGTGAGTATTTCTAGTTTCTCGATTACTCTTTTTTTCAACAGAATTTTAGATCTGTGCGTTGTTTTTTTTTTGTAAAATCCTGTATTTTTCTGTACGTAAGTTTGAAAAGAGTAGTTTATATATATGAAAGCCTGTAAATCGATGTGTGTTTTTCATTGAGTTGAATAAGAAATTCCAGTAATATGATTGGTCTTAATGGAATTCAACATTGTTAATTATAGTTATTGTGTAAATTTTAAATAGTTTATAGATGTGTTAAGAAGATCTATTGGCGATATACAAGAAAAGATTGAAATATAAGTATTTGAATTTATGATGCATCCTTCAGTTGAAATTTTAGATCTTGTAAATTTGTAATCTTCACAATTCTTCTTAATTTGGCGAAGGCTTTTTTCACTTATTCTTTATGGTGTATTTTGTGTGTTTGGCATGATCCAGCACCCAAGGCCAATGAGAGATTGTAGGATAGTGGCTTTTACATTGATAATATGCTTCTTATGCGTTTTGAAATATTATTTCAATAAAAAAGTTAACCTCTTAAATTTAACGCACGCTGCCTTCTATAGTTTTGAAATTATCATTCACAAGCTTCAGCTTATAAATATCCAATATGTTAACTTATTGACCCCTTTACTCAAATTATTTGAGTTTGCAGTTATTTTTGGTTATTGTATTAATTTGGCATTCGTAACATGTGTGTTTGTTCATGTATATAAAGTTTTATGGTTTGATGTACTCTTGACATTGTTTGGTGTCTTCTATTCAGGTTCTACATGCAAGTAGTACAAACAAGAATGGCTTCAAGGCACTCATTGCTGCAGAATACAGTGATGTAAAAATTGAACTTGTTAAAAATTTTGAGATGGGTGTATCAAACAAGACTCCTGAGTTCCTGAAAATGAATCCTATTGGAAAGGTATGCAAGAATAACTCGTGGGAAAACATATGGTGCTAGTTATGGTGTTCCATTTTTTCCTGATCTGAGTTTCTCTGCTGTAGATTCCTGTACTTGAAACTCCCGATGGCCCAATATTTGAAAGCAATGCTATTGCTCGATATGGTGAAACCATTTCTCTGTTGCTCGGTTGACTGCCTGATTTATTTTTTGAGTATGTTTTGACATTATATTATCACCATGTGCAGTTACACGGCTGAAGGTAGATAACCCCCTGTATGGCACTTCCTTGATTGATTATGTAAGGCATTGAGAATTTAGTTTTTATTTTTTTACTTGCATAATGAACGCTTTGTAAAAAATCGGTACTTTTCTCATAATCTCTTGTGCTATTTCTTTTTGTCCATTTATTTTGGTAGGGCCGCATTGAGCAATGGATTGACTTTGCCACTTCTGAGATTGATGTTAATATTGGGCGTTGGTTATATCCACGAATTGGTATAGCTGTATACCTTCCTCCGGTATGTTGAAACTCTATGTTCATTTTGTACTTGTAATCATGTTCAGTACTTGATGGAATGGAACTTTCCACTATTATAACTCAATCACATTATCTTCTTCGTGTTGGAAGTCCGAGGAGGCTGCAATTGCTGCATTGAAAAGGGCTCTGGGAGCATTGAACACCCATCTTGCTTTTAACACCTACTTGGTTGGTCATGGCATCACACTGGCTGACATTATTATGACATGTAACTTGAGTACTGGATTTAGGGTTATCATGACTAAGAGCTTTACATCAGAATTCCCTCATGTGGAGAGATACTTCTGGACCATGGTTAATCAGCCAAAATTTCACAAAATATTGGGTGATCTGAAACAGACGGAATCTGTTCCTCCCGTTGCATCCAAGAAGCCTGCACAGACTAATGAATCTGCAAAACCCAAACCAAAGGATGAACCAAAGAAAGAGGTGAACAAAGAAGTGAAGCCAAAAGATGTAGCACCAGAGGAAGAAGAAGCTCCCAAGCCAAAGCCTAAGAATCCTTTGGATCTTTTACCTCCAAGTACTATGATTCTGGATGAATGGAAGAGGCTGTACTCTAACACCAAAACAAACTTCCGTGAGGTTGCCATTAAAGGTGATTATTTTAAAGAATTTCACCTCTCGAGCACTATACTTTTATTGAGTGTTTATATGATTTTGATAAATGCCTATTGTTTACCTCTTATTGCACAATTTACTCTCTCTCGCTCTCTCTCTCTCATTATTTTATAGTTTCTGATGGCCAACATGAAATCTAGTATCTGAAAATTATCATTAATGATTCAAACTTTATGTTCTAGAAGAAATGACCAATTATTAGTTGGTGATCTACTGACTACTTAAACCAGTTAAATATTTTTAGACTCCTTGCCTGAGGCAGCGTAACAAATAAATTCTTATACTTTTCCATTTAAACTTTCTGGCCGATTAGTCACTTCTTATTTTTTTATCCTAGACAATACAGTACAAATCATTGCTGCTAGTCATTTTTCTGGATTTGTACTACTGAAATGAGATATTACTTTTTTGAATAAAAGCGACGTAACTCTTAATTTGTGAACAGATCCATCATTGAAATATCACTTGACTTTGTATTTTTGATGTCATCTTGTTTTCTTCTTGTGAAATCTTTGATTAGTGGTCAATGTGCTGAGATGGGGTCTATGTCAGAGATTGTGAATTTCCTAATTTAAATAATTGGGTGAAGCACAAATGGTTAGTTTTATTCTTCCTGGCCAGGCTTATGGTTTTCTTAACTCGCAGGGTTCTGGGACATGTTTGATGCCGAGGGATACTCTCTTTGGTTCTGCGATTACAAGTACCAAGATGAGAACACAGTTTCCTTTGTGACTTTGAACAAGGTGAGTGGCTTTCTGCAGCGAATGGATTTGGCCCGCAAATATGCCTTTGGGAAGATGTTGATCATTGGTTCTGAGCCCCCATTCAAGGTGAAGGGATTGTGGCTTTTCCGCGGTAAAGAAATTCCTCAGTTTGTTCTTGACGAATGTTATGACATGGAGCTCTATGAGTGGACCAAGGTCGATCTCAATGATGAATCTCAAAAGGAGCGTGTCAACCAGATGATTGAAGACGCAGAGCCTTTTGAGGGTGAGGCTCTGCTCGACGCCAAGTGCTTCAAATGAAGATACACCATCGTTGTTCCTGCAGGTTCGTGTAGTTTGAGGTTGTGTAGCCTACCTCCAGAATTCTAGGTTCCCTTATTCAATACGAAGTTGATCATAATTGTTTTTATGTTTTTGCGTTTTGTAACTTCTGAATTTTGTTCCAGATGATTGTGTTATGGTATATTTAAATTTGAAACGAAACATTTGGGTTTAAAAATTTGCTTGCTAGTTAATGGCGTTGTGTTTGGCTTAGCTAAAAGAAGGTAGTTATTTTTAAACATTGAATTGTGTAATAACTAACATTTGATGTCTAAAACCTTCAATTTAAAATGTTAGACTTGGCGTTTCAATTCGACCAGTGAAACGGCTTAAAGTCATCTTTCTCCTGAGTGAGGAAACAGAGGATCGGAAAACCAACTCTCTCGATATCCTTGCCCAAAAAGCATTGTTACTTTTGCTTGCTAGCTTGTCTAACCTGGAGAAAATGAAACCAGTACGCAAATGTGAATAAAATCCCAAGAGTAAAATACCATTCCCGTTGTCTCAATAATTTCATTCACTGGATCAAATTGGAGTATTAGGTTAGTGAATTTGATTTGAGTGCATTTTGGTAACTCCCAAGACTTGTGACCTTGAGAAAAAGAAACAAGTACAAGAATCAGTAACTAAACCCAAAAACTTCAAGTAGAGATTAATATTCCCAGTACATGGAAATTGTCTAAATAGTCTCCATAACTATGAGTTAGGTACTTTGGTTTCAGAACATTTTGGTAGCTTGTAACCCTGAGATAGGTCACGAGAATATGAAATGACGTACACCAAACCCAATGGCTTTAAGCGTTGACGAAAGTTCCTAGAAGTATAGACCTTCTTCATCAGTTGTACGGAATCTGAATGTATGCCGCATCACACAAAAATGGGACATCTGCATACATACCAGCAAGTGCACACCTATAGCACTCCAAAATAGTGAACAAATAGGCAATTGCAGTTGCAAGCCAGAAATGCGTTCCAATTGAAGGGAGGCCTTTTTCCCGATTGAAGGGAGGTGTTGATGCAGTAGAAAGACGATAGCACTTGGTTTCTGCAATAACAATTGTAAAATGACAAGTTTAACATGGATTATGCTTCTTAAAAGATGATCAATGATTTGATGCAAAAAGAGAACGTTTAACAATGGAACGGACGCTCAAAAAGTTACCACCACCAAGGAGGCAACATCAAAATGAATATCCTCGTTTTACAAATGTGAGCAACACAGGGCCATTTCAATCAGATCTCAACATTTTCCAGCATTTAGCTTGTCTTAAAACAAATATATTCAGATATATGTAACATAAAAGGATTCGACATCAATGGTTTTCAAGAATGAATTGCTAAACTCCGAAGTAGTGAAAAGATTGTAGCAATTTAGTTGATTTGTGTTACACAGACACGATGATGGTTGTGAAGTCTTCAACATCATCAAAAGGTGTCTGCTAAATGAAGTTTAGAATCTCAAATCCATGTTTGGGTTATCTGGGAAAGAGAGAAGCATTAGGCATACATCAACATGACGAGTGGTTATACTTGAGGAGTTTTACCCATCATAGAGATGCACACAAAGAGCAAAAACAACAACTAGGCCTTGCTCTTGAAATTTGGAGACGGCTATATTAATCTTTTTTCGCCACTTCGTTTGGTTCAAATGATAGATCTATTATCTCTTCTAACACCAATAGACTCTTTTAAGTATATGCAAAACATGTCCTAATCGTTTAAGTAGTCATTTCCTTTATAATACTCAATCAGCCCATCTCTACTTTTTATGTATATTCTTATTTATTTTTTTATCCCGGTTTTAGTATGGCCAGGCATCCATCTAGCATGCTCATTTCATCATTTTCTACTCAATCCATAAACAAGATCTGAAGTTACTCTAACTAGTTCCATTTCTTCTTTGGTAAGTAGTTTTAGGAGGAAATTTTTCATTTTATCATCATAGACACGACTATGAAAACGAGCAAACTTTTCGAACAGCCCTTTTTTCTCCATAAACAAAGTAATATTACAAGTGTAGATTCCAAATTTGGTTAACCAAAAAGACAGAACTCTTCATAGAACTACATAAACAACATAAGACAAGTTGAAGAAGCAATTCTACATTATACTGCCCTTTATTTGAAACAATTTACATAAACAACATAAGACAAGTTGAAGAAGCAATTCTACATTATACTGCCCTTTATTTGAAACAATTTAGTTGCATTGATTGGAAGCATACATACCTAATGATGAACATACTTTTAAATTCTGAAGACGTTTCCATGAACTTGTCTTGCATGAGCATTGCTAAATGCCTAATGCTGGAGACTTGTAAGACATAGAAATTGCACCAGAATAAGGCAGAGAGAATCCATTGAGAATCATACTGTGGCACGGATTTCAACTTCTATATCATAAAACAGACAAAAATGAATCTAAAGTTAAATAAAAACTAAAGGAAAATGATAATTTTACACCCAAACCCTGTTGTACACCGTACTTGTAGCATTGTTGAATAGTTGTGCAATTCCTAGCGAGGAAGATGCATTTGCACCAGGAGCTAGTGAGAGAAGGAGAGCAATGGTGCCTGCCATGTTCATTTTTGGCGACTCTGACATTGATAATGGGAACAACAATAATCTGCCTTCTTTTGCTAAAGCCAACTATTTTCCTAATGGTATTTACTTCAATAGTGGACCAACGGGAACGTTTTCCAACGGTTATAATTTTATAGCATGATTGATACAATCGGTAATAAACGCTCTAGCTTTGTATACGAATATTTTAACTTCTGTTTCTTAGTGTAAGATCTGATCTAGCGCACCGAACGTACCATTAGTGCATGTTTGCTATGCCATGTTGGACATGACTCACAAATGTAATGAACGAGATTATCATATGTTTGGTAAGGTGGGTTAAAATTTTGTTCTTAGTATCCACTTTAATGTAATAATATGTATTCAGCTGAATTTCTTAGACTGCCTTTGATTCCTGCACAATATGAAGCAATATCTGGTGATCAAATGAGATATGGAGTTAATTATGCCTCTTCTGCTGGTGGTATTCTTGATGTTACAGGCAGAAACTTTTTACTCACGGTATGGAACTTATTTGTGTTGTTCCTAATCCTAGCCCCAGTATTGAACAGTTGGTAATAAACATAGAAGGTAAGGAACGAAACTTCAATAGAAAAAAAGGGTCGGAAAGGTTGAGAAGCAATAGCGCAATTTTTTAATTGTGTTTTTGTAATCTTCTTTAAAATAAATGCAGAGACTGTACAATCTCGGAGCTCGAAAATTTTTGATTGCAGGGCTTGGATTGATGGATTGCATCCCAAGAGTTCTTTCCCAAGGTTCAAACGGTATGTCCTCAGAGGAAGTGAATCGACGTATTCTTCCATTTAACACCAACACAAAATAATAGGATCAACATGTTAGGGGATAGAATCCCACATCGAATAAAGATGAAAACATTGATCAACTCATAAAGGATTGAACTACTCTTCTTAAGAAGGTTGACATTTTAAGATGGACTCTAACGAGTAATTCGATTCGATTAAGACTAAAAAAATGAGCATACAGATTTCAAGATTGGTATGCTCAAATGAGTCACAATTTTGCGTGGCATTTTAAGGAATATAATACCACATCGAATAAAGATGAAAACATTGATCAACTTATAAAAGATTGTGTTATTCCTCTTAACAATATGTGACCAACTTATAAAGAGTTTGATTACTCCTCATAACAAGGTTGACCTTTGGAGATGGAATCCCAAATCTTAACACAACAATCTGATTCTTAGTAGGGGTGGGCGCGGGTCGGTTCGATTCGGTTTTGTTCGATTCCAGAAATTTTCGGGTATTTAGTAAGTAGAACCGTCGGTTCCAAATATAATTTTGGAACCGTCCGGGTTCGGGTTCGGTTCGATTCTATTCGGTTCCGTACTATAATTAAATTTTTTAACATTTAGAATAAATACTGCATAAATACACCTCAAAATAGACACTAATATTAATAACAAAAAGTAGATACAAATACCAAGTTCAATCTTAACTTTTACAAATTAACGTAATCTAATTTAATAACATATAAATAATAAACTGTCAAATACAAATACGAAAAAGTAAATATTACTAATAAAATTTCGATAATTTATATCAATAATTTATTTACTTCAAACATTCAAGTCTACATAAAAATGAAATATAAATTAGAAGTAATAAAGATAAAATATTTTAAA